TCTATGTAGTTATTGTATATAGTTGCAAGAATCTTAATAAAGTACTAGCATGGCTGCTTAAGAGCAAAAAAAAAAAACTCTACAGCAATAGGCTGTTTAAGTAAGAGGCACTATACAAACACTGTTAGCTAAGAATATTAGAGTGTTTATTATGTGCACTGTCTTTATACAAAATTTGGCAAACATATAGAAACAAATGATAGATACTGCAGGCCTAGAATCTATAAAAGTCAAATAGCTATTTGTTTTGATTGCTAGAAATTGGTAAAGATTACTGAAGTAAAACCAAGAAAAGTATATTTTGATGGATATTACAAATATGGTTATAAAGTCAAACCTAAAGACTTAATAAAATATTATTGGGATAATAAATGTTTCAAAGCTAAGACTGAAGAGGTTCTTTTGGAACCAAATAAATTATATTCATTGACTAGTTCCAAGGTAACCATTCTTTCTATGCAATGTAGTATAAGTGCACTCAGCTCAATTAATACTAATAGACCTAGAAAGAAAAATATAAACAAATTATTTATTTCATCTCTCTTTGCAAAACAAATTAATTTATTACCATCTCATCTTAATTTACTAAAAGATACTATATTAAGATTAAAAGATGGAACAGAAATTATAATTATTTAACTAATCTGACTGATCGATTCTAATATCAATAATATTAATATTTTTTATCTACTTCTAACACAGATTAGAAAAATGTCGATGTGAATTAAAAATCTATGAAGTGTATATTACTTTTACAATTTTTATATATAATATAATTAAATGCTTTAGAAGTTGTAAACAAACAAATCATTCTTTCTCAAAAATAAATTTTTTTGAAGTAAAGAGTTTTATGAAATTTTATCTAAAAATTTTTTGATTACTTTTTTTTTCTATTTTTAAATTTATGAGAAAATAGAGGGTCTACAATTTAACCAATTTTATTTATTAGCTGAGGCACTTTTTTTCTTGTACTTTTGCCTTGCCTCTATTTTTTTCTGCAAGTTTAATGAAGTATCAATTCTTAGTCAAATTGTAAAAGATCATCCTTTGATCTACTAAGATTAAATATAACAAATTTATCTTTGCAGAGATAGCTATTAATAACTATAGATGCACCCTTTACATTATCAATATATTGGCCAGCTATCTTGAACATGTCTTGATAACTGCTTCTCCCATTATATATTACTAAAAGGGTGATATTCTCATAAATAATAATTGGTATATAATAATATTTTTGAGTAACATAGTATGAAGAAATATTTTGATGTTATTCATGTGTAAAAAATAATATAATTTAATTTTGAATAAACTTGGAAGCAACATATACATTCTCAAAAATAATTATGATGCTTCTTTTAGGTAAAATAATTTTATACTAGAAATTTGTTCTAGTGATATATAGCTAAATCTAATGTTTTCATAATAGAGTGCTTTGAAATTACTTGCTATTATTCTATATATATATCTAATGAATACCTATTTCAGCTCATCAGGATAGTAACTGCAAACTATCAAATTATTACATCTAATATATCTAGATTCTTCTTTTTGTCTTTTATATATATGTTCATATTTATTTTCAAGAACAAGATTTGCTAGTAAATTGGTCTTTTTGTATTATTTCTTCTACTAACTATTATGCTGAAAGGCTATGTCATTGCTGAATGTTTAACATTTCAGGATGATTCATGCTTTGTGGTCTCATCTATATTCATAAAATAAAGTTTTATAAGAGTTAGTTTTATCTTTTGGTTCTTCTGTATATCAGATTGGGAATGCATAACTCTGATTTCTATTTAAAGGTATTTTATATTTTTTTCTTTATAGAGGAGTAAAATAAAAAAATATATATAAGATGATATGCATCATAGAAAGTATATGATTAGTAATATTATTATTATAATAATGCTGAAAGAAGAAATTGAGTAATACTTAGATTATTTTTAGGCTAGTGATTTTATTATCTTTTTTTGGTTTGCTATCACCTCCAATCACTTTATTAAACTTACTAGATGCTTCTAAAATTTGCTTTGCTAAATAAATATTAGTTTTTTAAGAAAGTGACTCTTTTTTCAAAAAGTTCTCAGCTGAGTCTAGAACTGCTTTAGCTCTACCTATTATGTTCAATTCATAGAATAACTAGGATATTTGTTATTCTAACTAATTTTCTAATTCTTTTATTCTAGACCTGAGACAGCTAATTAACTCATATCTATATATTAGACCTTTTTCTACTTTCTTTGACTTGTTTACTTTAGCTCTAAGAAAAGTAATTTCAGAATTCTTACACCTTATCTTAGCTTCCAATTCATGTTACTTTAAATTTAAATCATCACTTTCTTGCTCCAATATATGATTAAAGGAATTTAATTTACTTATTTTATTTCTAAATAAAGTAGTATCTAAATCATGAAATGTGCATTCTAATGCCATCTCTGATTTCAATTTTTCTACTTTGGCTTTTAGTTTATCTATTTTATCTTTAAAACAAAGAATCAAAGAATCTCATCCTTGTCAAGAAATGAAGCTTTCTAAGCAAAAGTTACTTTTCTTTTTAGTGTTTTAATCTCAGATTTAAATGATTGGATTTCAGTATAAGATGTCTATTTAAAAGATCTAAGCCTAGTATTAAATGCATTTAGTTGGTTAATCTTTTTTCTAGTATTAGCTTGAACTAGCTTAAGTTTCTTTTCTTGCTTTAAATATACATCTTGCAGATCTTTATATTCATTAGCAAGATCAGAAGCAGATTTGATACTACTATACAATGTATTCTCAAGTTCTGATTTGCAAATACTATTTAGCCAATACTGACCCCTTTAGAATCTCTTTAATCTTTTATATTGTTTAATATATACACATTGAATATAATCTTGGCATAGTTACAAAGCAAAAAAAAAAAATATGATTTATTTTTTTTTCTTGATGATTTTTGAAATGGTCATATTCCAAAAATTTTAAAAGTACTTTATTTTTTTATAAATACTACTGATACTATGATACTATTTATAATATCCATATTACTACTAATATTACTAGCATAATATTAATACTACTGTTTTACTAATACTAATACTACTGATACTACTATAATACCAATACTACTATAATACTAATACTATCATAATACTGATACTACTATAGTATTAATATTTTTTGTATATTTTATTTATAATATAAAAAAAATCTCTTAGCAATTAGCTATTTATATGAACAAATAGAGGCCTGCATCAGGTTTTGTGGCTCAGCCTAGCCTGGCCCACAAATTTTTGCAGATTAGACTAGGTCTGAAACAAAATTTTATAATTGTGGACCAGACCAGACCAAAAAATTTGCAAAACATTATAATTGCAAGCTAGTATAAGTCTAATATTTTGTAAAATTATATAAGAAATTTTTGCAAGCTAGGCTAGGCTGGGTCAGGCTAAAGAAAAAATTTAATATATGTGGGCCAGGCCAGGTCAGCAAAAAAATAATAACTCTAAATATAGGCCAGGCCAGGCTAAAAAAAAAATTTTAATTCTAAATGCAAGCCAGGCTAGGCCTTAAAAATAGACAATTCACAGACTCCTATAAACAAATCCTTACTTAATAGACTTATTAATTCCAGAGCTAGTTACTTGTCTTCTGTGGATTACCAAGACATCATACAGTACTGAGATATAAAGTCTAAACCTTTAGCTCAGCTAAGTAAAAAATATAAAATATCAAATAGTCATTTATATCAAATTTAAAAAGGACAAGAGTTTAATAAGATTTAATAAAATAATTTAGCAGTTACTTCAAGCACAAATGTTATAAATAAACAGAATAAAAAGCACTAAGCCAAAAGAGATTTTTAAAATAAATTGGATTCTGCATCTACAGTACTGAAAAACAAGATACATAATAATAAAATTAGCAAATATACTAATCCAGTTTCAGAAAAAAGTACAGATAGTAAGACAAAAAAAAGTGTAAAAAAAATGGTCTTAAGAGGATCATACCAAGTCTGCTAGCATCTCTAAAGCAACTATTACTTAGAATCAACCAATATCTAGAACAAAAAAATTATTTCATCTACTGAATCCTCTGAAGATATCTTGGATTTGTATAAAAGAACTAGTTCTAAAATAAAGAAAATTAGAGCATCTGGTCATGCTCTTATTTTTAAATAATTATTCAAGCTTATTTGGTCCTAAAGAAATTTTTTTATATCAATTAAGCAAAATATTGTAGTATTTTATAATTTTCAAATTTGATTAAATACTAAAAAATAGTACTTTTTTAAGCTCTTTTACACGAATTCTCATATTTTTACCTAAAGGCACTAAAGCATAATTTATGCAGTTTACATATTTTTTTTAAGTCTTTACTAATTAGACTAGAGGAATCAGTAAATACTTGGTTCTGCTCCTCTTTTAACAGTTCTTTAGCTACTAGGGTCTTGCTATATATTGAAATAACATAAGCCTTCCTATATAACTTTATATAAAACTAGTTTTTATTTAGCTTAGAAACACTTTAAAGCTTTTGAATATTAGATATACCTAAAAATAGCATTGGTTTAGGTTCATCATTATCTATATATACAAAATTTTCAATAACCATAACTGTCTTTTTCTCTTTGTTCCTTATAGTAACTAGCACATCTGTGTATTATTTTAATGAATTAGTAATATGTTTGGAATTTCTCTTTATAGCAAAATTGATGGCTCATCAATTTTTCATCCAAGTGCATAAATTGCTGGATCATTTATTCCACTAAATTTACTTTCAGTATCTAAAAAAGAATCAGGAATTGATAAATTATTTATATTACAATGCAAGTACTGTAAAGATAAAAATTACTTATTTGATTTTTTTGACTTCTTCTTCAGAGCCTTTCAAGACAAGTATATTTTTTGTATTAGTAGTGAAAGTTTAAACAATAGCTAATTATATATTTCAGGCTTGTTATTTTCTATTGATACCTGTTTTTTTTACTGATAGATTATATCTAATTCATCTATTATTTTCTTCATTATAACCTTCTTTCTTATTATCCAAAACTAGAAGTATGTTTTGAAAATTTATAAGTGTAAGAGACTTAAAATAAGTAAACTGATTGAAATTAGATCATGCTATCTGTCTATTAGAGCAACTATCTTTACTATGGCTTGTCTTTCTGCAAATAACATATTTACATATATATACTTTTTGAAATTGATTAGTTAATTGATTTACTGCATCTTTATCTTTATTGATTGCATTTTATATTCTATCAATTCTAGTAAAAATGTTATTTTATTAAGAGTAAAGTTTTTGAAAGAGTTTTACAGAATAAGCTAAATCTAAATTATTTTTATTAATAAACTTAATTCTTTTAAGTATTTGGCTACATAATAATTTTTGAGACCTTTTTCTAATTGCAATAATAATAGGAGACATCTTGGTTGTCTAACTGGTTCTACTATCTGTAAAGTAGATGCTTGTGCTTTTTGAGTAACAGCTTGCTAAGCCATTTGTGATTGATAATCAGCTTTTTGCTTTTTCAATAAAGATTAGTATTCAGTTTTTTGCTATGCCAGTACATTTTGGATAGCTTTTTGCATATCTTTTAAAGAAATTTCTCACTGTTAAAAAGCTAAAACAGATAAAAGTTTATATATTTCTCA